TACCAGAAAACCCACATTTAGAGCTTTTTCATATAAAATATTAGAAATTCAGTTTAAACGTAATACTGATGCTCTTAAATCATTAACAGGCATCTCTTTTTAACACTTGACAGCTAAAATTGCTTAACTCATGCTACAGTATGTAAACATATATAGATTCATTAGATAACACTTCACAAAACATTAATCTCAGCACAAAACTATCTCCATATCTGTGGTACAAACAAAATGGCAGAGGTGAGCTATGTGTAAAGTGGGCCCCCACCAATCTTGGCTCTCAGAATGAACAGCATTAACCAGAGACAACTGTACATCTTGATGATAGCACGGAGTCTAACTTAGCATGTTAGGGTTAGCTTTTTATCACAGATGCTAAACTTATATAAAATTAAAACTTAAATTAGTGAATTCAAAACTCAGCAGGACTCTCACAGGAAGAGTCGGATACCACACCAAACGAGCCACAGCAGTTTGGCCCTATTAAAATCATGAATTATAACTCTCCTCACGGTTCTACATGGACTCACCTCCGGCTATACTGGAAAAGGCTTTGACATGTGGACGTACCCACGTCATCACGCTGGACACCGTGTCCAGCGTGATGATGTAGGCATGCCCGGACACACTGGACACCATCACTCACACGCAAGATTAAGCACACACAGGCAGGAGATTATGACGAAAAATAAAGGATTTTTTTTTTAAAAAAAGGGTGATTTGGTGAAATTCATAGGCCGTTTATATGCAACTGCTACATTGACACCTCCTGAATTTCACCAAAATTACTGTACACATGAGTAGCACTTCAACACCAAGCACATTTGATGAACTGTAGTACCCCAGGCGAGTAAACACAAAGATCTAATCTTATAGTTCAGTTAAAAGAACTATCTGTAAAACAGAATAAAAGGAACTGGGATGGTTGATCAGGCCTCCTTCACTGCACAAACATAAAGGTGCAGCCTACACCTCTCTATAAACTGGTCCCTTGGCATTCATGTCTTACATAGTGCCCCAACCAAAAACATATAAAAATGCATGACTTGAAAGTTTTCTACGCCACAGACAGAGCGTTTTGCAGCGGTAACAGTCCCCATGTAATGGGTCTCTGGACCATGGTCTCTATGAGCCTCTTGACTGACTTACAACCCTACCCGCTATAGTGACAACCCTACCCCTAGGTGGAACTTGGTTAGGGGCATGACTGTGAAGGTCTGACTGTGGGCAGGGCCTGGCTCAGGTGGGGCAGGGGCAGTGGCAGGTTGGGTCTCATCAGAGTTGACAGGAGTGGGGACTGCGGAAGACTGAGGCTCATTGGAGGAGACAGGACAGGAGAGGGGGCTGTGCCAGATTGTGTCTTTTTTCGAGAGAGCTGTCTGGAGTGGGAACCGCGGCAGCTCGTGATCCAAGAAAGTCAGGGGCAACATGTATTTCGTCCACCCCATCCACAGTGAGTGTAGGTTTCATCTTTGAGCTTTGAAACAAGCTCCTCTTCTGCACTGTCTCCATGAACCATATGATTTGACTTGAACAGGACCCACTCAGATATCCGCGCTCAAGAGGAATCCTTCTCCAAACTGCTGAGTCCATCCGACTCTTCACTGACGCTGGAGTCACCAGTGTCTGGTAAGGTGTCCAAAGGCTGACTCCAAAGTGCATCTCGGACAGGGAGGAAACTCCCATCCAACAGTAGGTTCCTGTGCACAACCTCACACTAGCCTGTGGCATCACTGATCTTGTAGATATGAGTTTTGGGTTTCATTTCACAAACAGTATACACTGTGGGTTCCCACTTGTTGTCCAGTTTTTTCTTGCCCCCTCTCCTTTGTTGCAAGCAGCACTTGATCTCCAACATGCAAAGAGACACCTTTTACTCTCTTATTGTACTGATAGCTCTGGTGTTCTTGCTCTTTGTCTGTGTGCTGCTGAGCGATTCTGGCAGCCTCGGACAGGTAAGACAGAAGGATTTTGGAGTAACTACTGAAGTCTGTCACAATGGGATCATGCAGGACAGGCGAGAACACAATGTCCATTGGAAGCCTCAGAACACGGCCGAATATCAGGTAGAATGGGGCATAGCCAGTAGTCTCATGGACAGTCCCATTGTAGGCAAAGGTCAGCGCCTGGATCTCTTGCGGCCATTCTTGCTTGGCTCTGAGAGGGATGGTTTGCAACATATTACCAAGGGTGCGGTTGAACAGCTCTTGGACACCATTGCCCATAGGGTGATAGGCGGTGGTATGGGACTTGGCAATGCTAGACAGCTGCAGCAGCTCAGACACCATTTCACTGTCAAACTTTGAACCCTGATCTGAGTGAATACGTTCTGCTTACCAGAAGTCGATGCAGATGAGCCCCATGGGAGCAGAGCTCTTTATGCTGTCCAAAGGGGTTCTTGCTGCAGGCTCTGGAGTCTTGGCATGTACACACCTCTCACAGGGACATTTCTCGGCTTGGACTTAGAAGTGCAAGGCTCCACGATAATTGTACCGCCTGGAGACACTGGCATATTGCTTGGCAGCCTGCCCTACATCAGGTGTTCATGCTGAGGGAGCAAGGTAACAGCACGGGGTAGCTTCACAGTGCCGATCTTGCCGACTAGTATAATACATTCTGCCAACCGAGGTTCTCCCACAAGAGCTCCAGCTTCTCTGAGTAAAACATTCAGCCTCCTCATTCAGGGTGCAAGCCATGGATCCTGAATCTATCATGCCCTTCAGTTCGACCTTTTCATTCACCGCAACCTGGGTGTAGCTCACTGAAAGCTGGCACTTCAGCTGATCCTTGAACCACAACTTTGTAGCCTTCTGGCATGGCTGAACAGGTGTTAAAGTAGAGAAGTTTGAGATCCGGCTCATCTCCAATGAGGGGTTCTTGTCATCCTCCCACACTGCCCCTCACCAAGCGTGGGTTTTCTAGTTTTCCAAAGGCCGACTGCGGCTGACATCAAGCTGGCCCAGCTGTCCCTGCGCATGTTTGTTGCAGTCTCTCTTCCAGTGACAAGGAGCAAGCATGAGAGACACAAATTCTCTTGCAGTGCATGAGTGATGAGTGGCCGGTTTCACCACAGACCCGACAGTTTCTCCTATGAAGAGGGCCTGGAGAAAACTGATGTGATGGGGCAGGGGCTACAAACTGGATGTTCTATGGTGCCATGCCATCATGCAGTCCAAGAGACTGATCAGAGCATGCATGCCATTCACATGAATGGCTGGGGTGGGGGCTGGGACAGGTTGACAGTGAACAGGCTCGAGACTGGGCAGAGCAGCCAGGAGAGATACTGGCGGCTGTGTGAGCTAAGTGGTTGGCACTGGCACTGGGTGGGGGGCTGTTGGCACCTTGGGGAGATGTGGGATGAGAGCAGTGACCGGAGCTGGGATAAATAAGGTGGCAGTGGGTGAAAGTTGAGGAGCGAGGGCCAAGGCTGGTCCTGCATTGACTGTCACTGCCGATGAAGCCAGTGAAACAAGCCCTGGGGAAGAATGGAGCTGGGAAGTGGGACTGACCTGCACTGGCTGTGACATATCCACTTCTTGAAACATGGTAGACTGGGTGTGGTTGACTGCATGTCCCTGTTGGGCTGAAGGGCTAGCCTGAATGTGTGTCCTAAGTTCACGCTGGAAGCTATCAATGCATTCCTGAACCTCACTGGTTGTCCACTCTTCCGCTGCTTTAAAGCTGAACCTTTTGGAGAAGATGGGATCTGAGCAATACTTGATAAACATCATAGACACTTCACGCCCTGACCTTCAATACATCCTTAGCCCTCCCCATTAGCCTAGCTAATATTGCCTGTGACTTCTGATGTGTTGGTGTTTTTCTTTTTACAAGATGAACCTCAACCATCCCAACCCACTCACAGACAGAACTCTTATCACTGCTGTCACCTCTAAAGACTGGTGGCTCCATAACATCTTATTGCATTACAAGCTTAACACCAGAAAGGTTTAACTCAGGAAGTTCTTCTACTTTTGCTCTGATTTAAGGAACTCTGCTGACACAGACTCACTTCCTCTTTTGTCACCCTGTAGCTGGGCTGCAATAGACTGACCAATCTGACTAGCCAACTCTGAGATTAGGTTACTCAACTCAGCATGAGGTGCTGTCTGTGGGATTTGTATTTTACATGGCAGAACCTGGACACGAGTGGAAAAAAACCTGGGGGTCCTCAACCCACCCACATTTGGTGTCTGAGCCCCATCTTTGAGAAACCACCCTCTCCCAAAATTCACGTCAGAGTAAACCTCTCCCTCGGAAATCCCATTCCCTTCTGAAAAAGTTGCTGGTTTCATAATGGAAAATACTGATACAAATACACAAGAATGAGAAAAAAAATTACACACTACACAAAAAACACTATAAAAAATGTCCCACCTGACTGAAATAACCAACTCGGGGTGAAGGTGATGATGACGAGCTCCCTACGGTGACCGAGATGGCATTGATGCTTGAAGAATCCCACTGGTCATGGCACCAATGTCTTCATGTGACTTTTAGTTCTGTGTTGTGTTCTAGGTTGTGGAATAATGGGACAAGAAGCGGCACTAGGTCTCTGGGTCTTTACTCACAAGTTGTTGTACTCTGGTAAAAACAAAATTGTAACCTTTGTGTACAGTTGGCGCCTGCCAAGCTGGACTCTCCTCCAGCCATATTGGAAAAGGCTTTTTTTTACTCTTATTAATACAATAAAATAAACAATTTGTCAAGTCTGATTACAGATGGGAGACTGCTGTGCTGGAGTCGGGGCCTCTCAGCTGCTGCTCATCTGGTCATCAACCCACACTACATAAGATCTTGGGCCACAGTCAGTCAGCGCTGGATTATAGACACTGCTACCTGTTAGTGACGTCACCAGCTCTCATCATATCTTTGTCAGTACTCTAGCTTGTAATCCTAGCCCTGCAAAACCTAACCTGTTCTCTTTTCTGCACTCCAGCTACACCCTCCGCCCTGACTCCAGCCTGCATCTCCAGCCAGAGCTCATTCTCCGCCAGCCTGCCCATCTGCCAGCACCAGCCTCCCTGCCATACCATCCTACACAGTAAACACTCTTGTTACCTGACCTCTGCCTCCTTCCCTGCTCCTGATTCCATCTACCCGGCCTTGACACAATTTGAAATAAATAAATTAAATTTCAAAAAAACAAAACAAGTCACTGCGTTTTTAAACAGGAGCTTTTCCCTAGCTTTAGCCTATAAAGTGCAATACAAAATACAATAACACATATTCAAAAGAAATATGACAGCTCAAATAGCTTAACTTATGCTTCACATAACATAACGCCCTAACTTAGCATGTTAACATTAGCTTTTTATCACAGATGCTCAACTTCATTAAAAACTTAAATTAGCGAACTCAAAACTCAGCAGGAAGAATCAGATACCACACCAAACAAGCCACAGAAGTTTGACCCCATTAAAATTATAACTCTCTACTCTCTACAGTGACTGACCTCTGGCTATACTGGAAAAAGCTTTGACCAGAGTGTGCGGGCATGCCTATGTCATCAAGCTGGAAACCGTCAGTCACATACAAGACTAAGCACACACAGGCAGGAGATTATGGCAAAAAATGATAGTTTTTAACACAAAAAAAGTGTGATTTGGTGAAATTCATAGACTGCCTATATGCAACTCCTACACCAAACCATCTTCATCATGTTTTTTTAATTTACTTTTTAAAGTAATTTAGGGCAGATTTTTGTTCCTCATAATTTATTTCCAAAACTGTCCAAAGCATTCTCTAAACCATCCATGTGATGTTTTTTTAGTCTGTCTTCTCTGCAAACTGCCTTTCCTTTCCTTTCCTTTCTGTTCCTGACAAATAGGCTCCATCCTGCCTTGGGTCCAGCCATCATCCAGATCCCCTTTGAAAAGCACAGATGGAAGTGAGGCCTTAAAACTTTATGGTGGGAGCCTTGGTACCACATGTCATTTCAGTAGCGGTGCTGCTAGCAGGCCTGCTGACACGCATATATTTAATTTGTAACCAGACACTTCCTCTTCCCCTCGCTCTCCTCAGAACTCTGGGACATGTCTTGTTTTCTCAGGTCAGAGGTTAAACAAAGGAAACACGGGACTGGCTGGTTGAAGGCCCGGTGCTGGGAGGGCGTCAGAGTCACCTCCACCTTCGAAGTAGGGCCAGAGCAGACTGTGGGACACATCAAGGTTAAAGGTGTAGCTGTGATTTCTGGCAGTTGGGTTGGGCCACTGCGAAGAACTCAGACATGGAGCTGGAATCAGAGCTGTTTGCATTTCATATAATGGCATCTGAACATAAAACGCTAGATCCTCTTACACAAGAAGCCCTCCTGGTTGTTGGCCATGACATCTTTACTGCTCCTCTGGCCATAAACCCCCAAGAGGCGGGCCTAAACACAGTTACACGCCCCACTAGCTCTCCACCTCTTTGCGGTGGTGTATAAACATATAAGTTTATTTAGTGTGAATGTCCCGCGGCGCTCACTGCTCATCCCTTTCATAAAGCCCAGATTATCATGAGCAAAGCAGAACAGTAGCAGAACAGTGTGGATGTCACAACTGGATTCATTATTATATATAAAAAAAAACAATTCCACAATTCACAACATGAAGGGATGAGAACTACTCATCCAAAAAACTGAACAGTTGAGACTGATCTTTCTTAGATCCTCAGCAAAACACCTGCAAAGTGTGAAGTCGATCGGATAAGTGAGATCCCTCCATTCATTATTATTATTAGTACAAAGATCTGTCTGTCTTTAAAATAAAATATTTAAAATAGGTTAGTCAAATCATTATCTGAATGTAGACCTGCTACTTTCAATTAAGGAAGCACTTTTAGAAAACATTGCCTGGATCTGAAGATCATCGTGTAGTATACACAGAACTTAATTGTTAGTGTTAGCAGTGCTGTTCTGAGAGCTTTTGCAGGGCTAAAAATGTTAATTCTGACCTGATGGTGGCAGAAGAGGAAAGGTAACCAAGAACCATGAATTGCCAATTCAAATTTTGTGGAAAGTGTTTTGACCAGTTTTTAGTAATTTGTGGAGAAAGATGTCAGTTTGAAGTTAAAGAGTAAAGTGAAAAGTGAGTGTCCAAACTGAAAAGGGATTATCCTCTGGGGAGAGCGACTGCTCAGTGATTGTCATGAAATCTGTTGATAAGATGTTGAAAAAAGTAAAAACTAGAATCTTCTCCTGGTGGTTCTCTGCCTTCTCCACTCAGACTAATTTCAGGTTACATCCCTTTTTATCCAGAGTCATAGAAAATATGAACCATTTGTGTGAAATTTTGTCATAATTGCTGTGAAGTAAAAAAGTGTTTGGTCAGTATGAGGTCACAGTGACCTTTGACCACCAAAATTTAATCAGTTCATCCTTGAGTCCTAGACAGTGAATGTTTGTGCCAAATTTGAAGAAGGTCAGTCAAGGCATTACTGAGGTATTGTGTCCATGAGAATGGGATGATTGGACAGACAACCTGAAAACAAAATGACTGTTGCTGGCGTGAAAGGAATATAATAAGTGGAAGGTGGACATTTTGAAAATTCTTTCTTCCATCAATTAGTGCAGGAGGCAGAGAAATGTTATGGAAATTAAACGGGAATTTCCAACATCAATGGAGGACTCTCTGTCCGTCTGTCAATGTTCAGGATCTCTGCTCTTTCTATCAACTTCAAACCTATCAGGTGTGTTTCTGAGGACCAGAGGAAGTGAAGTGTCAACAACAAAGTTTGTTGGAAGGGCAGTTTTCGAGACTGTAACCCTGACCCTAATCACTGTCCGTCTTTCCTTGTAAATAGAAGTCATTGGTCCCATCAGGCTATGACAGGCACAGTTTGCACTAGTTCAAAAACATTTAAATGGTAAATGGATGGCACTTATTTATTTCTTACACATTACACATTCATCCCTTCACAATCATTCATTTGACGCTTTCTATGCATTCAGTGCTTCTCTATCACACACACTTGCACGTCGATGATACATCAAGGGTGTCTCACCCATTGACACTTTGACATGCAGACTGGAGGAGAAACCACCGACTTTCCAATTAGCAGATGACTTCCTGAGCCACAGCCGCCCCAAAAACAGTCCCACTGATGATCTGCAAAGACCCAATACTGTTGATTTTCTAAATGTTATATTTAAACGCCTGCCACACAAGAAAATATGTTTCTGTCATTTGTTTTACCTGACCATTTACACATCTCCACCAACCTGCTGTAACAATGACTGGATAACTGAACTGGCAGAACAAGACTGACTCTGACTGATTTCGTCTAGACACAAAGTAGAGGAAGCAGCTACGAGAGGAAGCAAATCTTTATATCACACAAAGAGCTGTAGCCAGAATCCCTCTCCACTCCATCTGCTCAGCACAGAGAGCTGCCAACCACAGCTCAGCAAAACCACACACACACATCCACACACTGCGTGTAAATCCACACTAACACACACTGTTTCAGCTCCACACACTGTATACGTTTGTTACGTGGTGACATCGTCTGAATTAACTTAGCTACATGTCAGTGATAGGACTTAAAGTTTGTTATGTGATCTGAATCAGATAATATGCCTGCAATCTGAGCATTGGGCACTCCACACACATTGAAGCCAGCAGAGTCAGGCTCTGTGCTATAAACAGAGGTCTGGGCTGCCTTTATAACTCCTGTCTAATTTAGAGGCGTCTTTATGGGTCATTGTTCACCATATGGGGCGCGTTAAAGCCTGGGACAGCAGGTAAATCATAGGCCTGCGCCTTGCACACGCTACAACCAGCAGACCAGAGAAGGATGTGGCCACAAAAGCCTGCGTGTGTATGTGTGTGTGTGTGTGTGTGTGTGTGTGGGTGTGGGGGGGGGGGATAAAGTGTTAGATTTGGGATTAGAGTTAGACTGGTTGGGGAACCAGTATTTAGCCAGAGCCGATGAATACCCAGGCCTACTGCAGAGTCATGTGACCTGGGAGTGAATGCTGATTGTTCCCTTTTCCATTGTCAACAAAATCCTGATGTTAGTGTGTAACTTAGCAGGTTTTTTGACCAGTGGAAAAGGGGCTTTACTCTTCTGACTTCTATATGGATTCAAATTTAATAAATATAATATCCCTATAATTAACCAACACAGTGCCTGTTGGTGGCCTGATAGGAGAAATGGGTTCTACAAACTCACAAAACACCAGTCTTTGATGTCACTGATCATCACAGTTCATGTGACGTTATTTTTTCATTTTTTCTTAACCTCAAGTAACATGTAGAAAATCGATGTTTGAAGCTTTCAGGAGAACTGCTAATCCAAAACACTTCACAGTCGACACTGCTCTTCCTCAAGTCCTAAGTGAATTCAGACCTGCTGTATCTCCACAGCACTGTGTCAGAGCTGGAGGATGGTCTGGCTGTGCCATCAGCATTCTGCTATAAGGGAAAATCCCTTGTTGGCTTGGTTGCATTTATTTAAACCAATAACAATCATCTTGGGCAGCGCTGAGCGCAGGATGCAGCGATGGTGCCCCTGTAGAATAGTGTCAGAGGGGACCTTGTTTTGGTGGAACATTTGCACGTGGGAAGGTGACTGCACCGTCATTAAAACAACTGATTCCCACAAAGAAAACACCAAAACAGTCAACACATGCTGTATGTATCGCCTGTGTGAGTGCACAATCACGTTTCCCGTAGCAAAGGGGGATTTTGAAAACAGTAACAGGCGGAGGAAGTGGACAGGGAGGAGAACACCACCTCCTGGAATAGCCAGGATTATACCCACAGCCCACAACCGGTGGCTCAGACTATACTGTAGGTCTTCAGTCATACACTTGCAAAGTGGGAAGTCGAATGGAAGAGTGGTTGTCTAGAAAATCTGAAATTTTGAAAATAAAGTCAAAATATTATGAGAATAATATAATTTTACAAGAAAAGACACAATGTTTAATTATGAGAATTATAAATGTAAAATTGGGAGAGGAAAAAACACTAGAATAGACTGTCCTGATGCTGATCATGATGATGATGATGATGCTGATGAGCCAAAAGATGAAGTATCTCGTTATTAGTGAAACCTCTGCTAAAGTAGAACTTCACAGGATGCTCCATGTTCCTCATTTTAAAGTTTCTGATATTTCCCCTCTAAAACTACCTTTTTCGAAGTTTTTCCTCAATGTAACCCTAATATTCCATCATAGTAAAATCAAGCCAACAACATAGCCTGAGTATTGAACCCAGTTGGTTAATATTATTTTTCTGCTGAGTTAATATGCACAGGTCAGCTCTGTAGGAAAGACATGCTTATAACAACTCATGTGTACATGACTTTTTATTTTAATCATCCTCTTGCTGTGGACGGTTTAGATTAAAATAACCCAAACATACAGTCTTAGTGTTGGTCCTGGGTCAGGTTTAGGGAGCTGTAGCTGTTGTGCACACCTCCCCCCATCTGCTCCCTCCCTCCCTCCCTCCCTCCCTCGTTGCCGGGCTGCTCACCAGCAGGGGGGCCTGTAATCCCAGCAGCACCATTGTGTGGACTGGCAGGTATTTCCCCTGCTGCTGAGCAGCGGACTCAGCTGACTGGCGGTGCTGTGGGAGCAGGAGGAGGCTCCTCCTCAAAGCCTAACCTCCTCACTTCCTGTCTGTCAGACCGGCTCTTCTTGAATAATAAGGATGAAGATTTTTGTGGCGCTGATCCGGTTCCACACTACTCCACGGATCCACATCTCAGACTCAGAGCGTCCGTTTATGTGAGTTCAGATGTTTGTCTGTTGAATTCCCAGCCTTCTGTCAGCCTCACAGATTACCACTTAGGCTCCAGCAGCTTTCCATTCAGACCAGTGGAGGGGTTCACTTATTTAATCTTGACTGATCTGGCCTAACCAGTGAGTGGTTAATGTCCTATGTGAGTATGTGTGTGTGTGTGTGTGTGTGTGTTTGTGTGTAGTGGAGGCCTCGTCTGATCCCCACAGCTGCACCCTTTAGAGAACAAGTTTCCAAAGTGAGGTTGGGGGGCTCCTAAGGGTCCTTGAGTAGGTCCCGACAGGTCCTCACTGTTTCACTGTGTTTTATTTTTGGACTGTACTGTGAGACTGATGATTGTCCTTTCCTTAAGGAAGACATAGTGCACCGTTGTTATATCTGTGCAATA